ATGAACATATTATCCCAAGATGAGTAATTGAACAATCTGTGTTTGTTAAGGTTACATAAAAGATAAAAACTCTTTAGTATTGAATAGATGATGATTTTCTCTTTTGCTAAGAATTGACAAAACACTGATTCTGCCATCCTCTGATCCTCGAGGTATTATATTTTTAATTTTTTTCCCGCTGCCAGAAATTTGTTCCCAACTTTTACCAATCATATGTTACAGGGGAAGAGAAAGCAACTGGAATCAATTAATCAAAATTCCCAATAGAAATGAAACAAACCAAATAAATTATTAGTGGAACCTTAAATTATAAATTATTTTGCTAACACACTGACCCGTATGATTTGATTTCTTTGGAAAGAAAGTAATCTAAATCCCAGATTTAGTTTGATTATACATATACATAAATACAAAAAAGAATCAATAATTCGAAACATACCTAATTTGGAGATCCCTGTTTTGGACTGCACCGATAGATCCGCGACGCGATGAAGAAGGAAGTTTCTATTTTAATCTCCGCGAATCCTGAATAGTTGTATGAAATCTGGAAGTTCAGGTGTTCCTTCCTTCTTCGCCGAATTGCAGAAAGGAAACCTAGGAATTTTCCGTGAAGGAAAATGGCCGAACGGATGGTCTCTGGAGTTGACGCGTGGAAGGCTGATGTGTCAAAAAAATAAACCTCTTTAAGTGACACGTGTCATCATTCTAGGCTATCAACTCTCAAATATTATATTAAAGGATTTGTTTTTGGAGATCGACTCATGTTGAGAGTGTTGAGAGTTCTATTCTTGGTTTGAACTTTGAATTATTCAATTCCATCTGTTCAAAACTTTTTTTTTCAATTTAAATTATATTAAGTCCGACCCACCCAAAAAAGGATATAATTCTTCATCCCTCCGGTTAGGTCGGTAAAAGTCGGATTCAGGTTGTTTTGTCATCCCTAGCTAAATTTTGGTATTACATTCCTATTTTGCATTTACTAAGTGAGAAATAGGATATAATGTGTATAATTTGTATCTTAATAATGGATAGATTTGATATAATAGTTAAGTTACTAATTAATAAAGGTAAATAAGTAATTCTAATTTTTTTGGACACCGTAAGCGTTAGCGTTTTCAGAATTAATCTACACTTTTAAAATCTTATCCAAAATGCTAACGCTAATCGAAAATGTTGTTCTCAAAGAAGGCCTTAATTATTTAATCAAATTCCTAACAATTCAATACTTAGCTTCTTCCATAAGGCAGTGATCTTTTTGTATGATAGTGTCCCAATTCCCCAAGACTCACAAAGATTAAAAGGAAAATTATCCATTCTTAGTAAATACAAAGCACATATTTCAAATGACACTAAAACATAAGTTTAGAAGGAATATAGTTCTCTGTGGTTGTAACCAATTCAACAAAGAATAGGTTTAGCAGAACCAAAACAACAAAACAGTAAAACTCAAGACACATTATTACCAAAAGCTCAAAACTCACAAAATGAACAAACTATCTCAAGGTAGATAGCCATTATTGACCCTTAAGCTTCCCCATCATTTCTTCATGTTGGCCGAGATCATTTTCATAAACTCCGAGAGCTTCTCGGTGGAAGACACGATCTCTTTCGCGACATCATCTTCGCAGAAGTCTTTTGCCCATTTTGCCAAGCCGGGTACCTTGGCTTCATCAAGTAGCTTGACGGAGTTGAACTCCTCAGTCACCATGACCCAAGCAATGTAACTCCCAAGTGCAATGTCTAGGAACCCGACTTTGTCCCCGCCGAAGAATTTCTTGCCTTTGCTGCATCCATGGAATGCGCCTTCCAACAATGTCAACGCTTCTTCCAACTGCTTGATTGCATCACTCTTCGCTTCCTCGCCTTGAGTGAATGTTATGTCACGCAGATTCGGGTACAACTGTGATCAGCTGATTGTATTAGCTTTGTTCAATTTTATATATTATTGATAATTAATTGTCTAAAAAATTTATTGTTTAATTAGTTTGAACTATTTTAATGCCATGGATTGTTTATGTCAACCATAAGCTCAAACTTATAGTTGTAGGCCCAGAAAAGGTTTTATATACTCTACCGCGCACCCCCAAGTGGTTGCAAAATTTTATGTTTGCTCGAGCCTTGCACGTGAATATTTAGTAAATGTTTCTCTGTGTTTTTAAACTGGTCAAAACTACTTATAAGCAATTTTTTATTTATAAGTCAGCAAATGACATGTTTTTGTGTGCTTATAAGCTGCTTATAAACCATAAAAAATAAGTAAGTTTTAGCTACTTATTTTTAAGCCAGTTTTTTGTTTCCCTGTTTAGACAATATTATTTACAAAATTGTCCCTCAACATTTATGAATATTTACAAATGATTTATCTGTCATTTAAGTAGTTTTATTTCCACAAAAGAATATTTGACTTATAAGTAGCTTATAAATTAAAAATATTTATCAGCAATAAGCTAATAAGCACTAGCACAAAGAAATACTCATTTAATTTAGGTGGCAGTGAGATTCAATCGTAACTTTTTGGTCAACAAAACTCTAATACCATATGAATGGCATAGGACAACTACGATACTACCATATACTAACATTGCAATTAGCCTTGAATCCTTTATATATAATATTTGAGAGTTAGACTTCTAGAATAGTGACATGTGGCGTGCTTATTGGGCAATTTTTTTGACATGTCAGCACACCATGTCATCAAGTTATATTTAAAGAATTAATTAATTAAAGAACTTATTCTATGAAAATTAAATTTTTACACACAAATTTCTCAACATAATTGCGTTTAAAACTTTTATATCTTAATTCTTTGTTGGAAAATATTTAAATTAAATAATATATTTTGAAATTGAAAAAAGAACTCATATTCAAAAACCATAATCAAAAGAAATAAATTTATTCTAAAAACGGATAGATTGGTAAAACTATAACAAAATACGTTTGAATATTTGTTTTTACTTTGAATTAATACTAATTGGAGATATTTTCCAACTTTGAAAAAAGAGAAATAGATATATAAAAGAAAAGGATTTTTATGGGCATGTTTATTTAATAAAGTTATAATTTTATTCCGTATATATTTAAAAAAATACTAAGTTAAATAAAAAGTATGTTCCATTTTAAAATTAGTATATTCTATTTTTAAATTCTTATTTTCTATTACAAACTTTGTAAAAATTTATATATGTGTGCCACAAATTTACTATTTTCCATTAATAATTTTTGAAATAATGAAGACTTAGTATGTGAATATTTATGTGTGAGAAATTAATTATTATTTGGTGTTCCTAATCGAAATATTTACGGTATAATATTAATTTTTATAAGTGTAATTACTATTAATTAAAATTCTTGAAAATAAAAAACATGCCTATTTTGACATTTATGTCAAAATAATATAAATAAGTAATATTCTTACTTTTTTATTCATCTGACCGTCATCAACAACAATGTAACAAATATTAGTCGATAATAGAACTTTTTTATGTTTAGAATTTTTAGATAAAAATATTTACAATATTTATTTTATGATGGTTTTTACAAATACAGAAGGAGAGAGGCCGTAATCGGCTATAACCTCGCATCATCGAACACGTTTGAGAAAGAATGTGCTCTGTGATTTGACAAATGGTATTTTTATTATTTTGAATTAAATATTTAATTTTTCCAGTAATTTTTTCCCAAAAAATTTATACGATGCTCCATTAATATGGTGGACACACTCGAGGTTGAATTTCCATCTCCCATGGCTAAAATTTGTAACCTTTAGAGATCAACAAAAGCTAAAAGATGTTTTCGAAAAAATATGACAAAGCTTCAATATTTGAAGCTTGGATGATTTTCAATACACACTATGATGCGGGATAAAATTTGACGTATGCAAAGAATTTCCAGAATTTCCAGATCTTTTTGTGTTCAACCACAAAGCGCGAAAATGGTCCGATGCAACAAAGACCGTCAATAGGCAGGCTACAAAATGTGTGTCCAGAAACTAGAGAGTTATACTCCCTCCGTCCTATAATGATCTTCCCGGTTCGCAAAACAAAGAAAAATCCCAAGTTTTAAGTTAGATAAAATAAATTTATAACCATATCTTTATTTTTTATTTTGTATGTATAAATTTTTGATGTGGTTTTCAAGTTGTTTTGTTCACCACTGTTCTTATAAAATAAAATAGTATATCCGGTACTTTTTTGTGTTTATTTATATTATTCCCGTGAAGTTGGAATAGTGCTCTGGGAAGATCATTATAGGACGGAGGGGGTACTACTTGAGAATATTATTAACTGTCCAGCGATGATGTATAAGTTATAAGAGCTTGAGAAGAGTTAACAATGTTCTACATAACACATTCATAGAAGCATGTGAAGCATTAAGGTTATTAACCGATGATAAATAGCTTATTGAAGATATAAAAGAGATTGCTAAGTTAGGATTTGAGAATATGCTAATAATGTTGTTCGTCCAAGTATCATGAGTCACCCACATATTGTTTTAAAAAAACAATAGGAACTTCTGGTGAATGAAATTTTATTTGATCGAATGTGAATATTGTGGAATCAAGGTACTTGAATATAAAGAAAGTTTTTAAACCTATCAATCAATTTGAAATGCATTATATGAAAACAAAACTCTTTATTTGAGTACTGCATAGAAACAAATAAATCCTTTTTTTGTAGAGCTTATAATCTCACGAGAAGGCCTAAAGAATTTATGTCTAATTGAGATTGAAGAGTTGCTTATTTGGAATGGACGCTCTTTAAAGGAACTCAGTGGCATGCCATTTGGAGATCACAATCAACTTAATAGATATCAAAATAATTTTTTGGTAGATGAGTTAAACTATGTCCATGAAAAGTTGTCATTTGATCTTAGAGGATATTATATCTATGATGAATGAATATCAGTGGAATAAATCTAATGAAATAATGGAAGTCGTGATAGTTGAAAGAGAGAGTTCTTTTTTGTGCATGGTTACGGTGGAACTGGAAAAATATTTCTCTAGAAATCATTATCTGCTTTTCTGAGGTCAAACAGTAATGTTGTCCTGAATGTCGCATCCAACTACATTGTAGCACTGATTTTACCTAGGGGAAGGAGACTCGAGATTTTTAATCCCTTTGGTGCAAATTGAGTGCTCATTGTGTGCCACCAAACAAGGGACCCGAAAGCAGACCCAATATAACAGGTATAATCATACGGGATTTATCATCTACGATGAACATATTTTCTTTTGAGACATTAGATTGCACAAAGAGAGATGTAATGAGAATTTCTAATAATAACTTCATAAATTAATCATACGAAGGAAAAACAATCGTACTCAAAGGTGATTTTATCCAAATTCTTTCAGTTTTAATCATTGCTTTGAGAGAGGAAATTGTAGGTGCTACAACCAATTCCTCATAAATGTGGTTGTATTGTAAAATTTATACATTGACAAAAAATATGAGATTGCATTAATCTATACTCTCTTGCACATATTTTTTCTGATTAGATAATCAAAGTCGAAGATAGAAAATTTAGACAAGTGATCAATGGAACTGCTCGCGTTGAAATCCCGCCTGAATTCTTGATTCTTGACATAAGTTATCACCTCAAGAGAACAATGGAATTCACTTATCCGAACCTACTAGAGAACATGAAAAATTATTTTTTTAAGGATAGTGCAATGTTATCACTCACACTCGAGTTTGTTGAATGATAAATGAATTTGTCATATCCCTTATTCTAGGAGGTGAAAAGGAGTACTTAAGTTCTGATTCTTCATGCAAAGTTAACAATTGGATAACACTTCAATTTTTTAATAAAATCAAATGTTCGTGGATCCTAAATCACAAAATAGTTTTTAAAAAGGGGGTACCGATTATGTCATTGAAAAATATTGCCCAAATATCTGGATTTTGTAAAGGTATAAGATTAATCGTTGAGAAGCTGAGAAAGAACATTATCACTGCAATTGACGTTTCGAGAAATCAGTTGGGAAAAAGATTTATATACCTCGAGTGAATTTGGTATCATTTGATTTAGAACTACCCTTGAAATTCTAGAGAAGACAATTCTTAATATTCTTATATTTTGTTATGACTATTAACAAAAGTCAAGATCAAACATTGTCTTTTGTTGTATTATTTTTAACCAATTCAATATTTACTCATGGTTACCTTATGTTACTTTTTCACGAGTGAAGGCAAAGACATAATTAAAAATATTGGTTCTGGATGATAATGGAAATTCTTACAACCATACCAAAAATGTTGTGTACCCTAAAATCTTTGAAAAAATTGGAATTAAAAAAAGTTTTTTTTGAGTACACTTTCAATCCCTCAAATATTATTTATTCTACTTTGTCGTTGTTGTTCATTGATTAAAAATCGTGTTAGAAATATATTTTATTTGATTCCGAAAAATATATTACTTTTTTAGTCTCAAAATTGGAATCGACAAAAATTTTGTTCGACCCCGTGCGTCGCACGGGTCAAAATACTAGTTAATCTAATAACGAGGACATGGAAAGAGATGGTAGAGTACCTTATCGTCAACATAAGTAGCCCAGAAGCGGGCTTCAGCCCGATCATAGGGATCGACGGGCAAGATCGACCATCCAGAAGACGCCCAGACATCGTCGAGGTACTGGACGATGATGAGGGACTCGCAGACGGATTTGTCATTGTGAATGAGGACTGGCATTTTCTTGTAAACGGGATTGTACTTGAGGAGAAGGTCGCTCTTCGACCCGAACTTCTCCTCGAGGAAGTCGTAGGGCACGGACTTAATGTTTAGGGCAACCCGAGCCCGGATCACGAATGGGCTCACCCATGAGCCTAGTAGCTTCACTTTCTCCGACGCCATGGCTAAGCAAGCAGCTAATTAAGAGTCTTCTTAATATAATCAAGAGTTTTTTTTAATTCTCTCTACTAGTGGATTTGGTTAGGTGCTTGCTTATATTGGGAAATTAAAGCCAACTTTGCCATCAAAGTCAACTTTGCCACCAACCTCTCTCTGACTTTGGGTCCCTCCTTTTGAATTTTTATTTAGTGCATTTGAATTTTAAAAGCCATTTTAGTAGGATTAAATTGAAAGTTGACTGTAGTATTAAATTTCGATCGGATATGCCTAGCCGGATTCTTATGTTGAACATTATTGTTTTTGTTATGAAATTAATGATTGTTCATTTATTCAATTAATCAGGCTTACTTTTTAGAATAGTAGATTAAGACACTAATACTAATTATGTACAGTACTTCCCACTTGTATTTGTATTCATACCAAGCCTCTCTACTATAAATAGAGGCTTAATCCCTGCATTGTAATTACCATTAAGAATAAGAAGAAGAGTGAAGAGTTAATAGAGAGAAGAAATCAGAAATATATCATATTTATTCTCATATCTCTGAGTATTTTTTCTCTCATTTTATAACACGTTATCAGCACGAATTTGCTCAAAATCCCAGAATCCTTGTTCTTCTCAGAAGGTATATTTATTTTATTTTCTTCATGAACAAATTAAAATATTTTTCTTAAAAACTATGAGAAGTATGCTCTGTGATTGCCCAAAGTTGGGATCCTTCACATCAGAAACTTATAGTTATAAAATTAAAATTAGATAATTAAAAGGAAGAAGTTTCCTCATAATAATAATAAAAAATCATTTTTTTTATAAACTAAAAACAAAGAGTTGATTTAATACGAATTATTTAAGATTAAAAAAATTATTTTTTAAAATAAAGACTGTTCTTGAAAGAAAAAAAATCATCATTAAAATCAAGATATGATGAACTTACCTTCCTGCTACTCTTGAATTCTTCTTGTACACATCTTTGATTGAAATAGATAATCTCACTTTATAATATTATTTTTTTATCCTTTTCTCTCGTTATAAGATTTTTTTTTTCAAATTTGGGTTTAAGAATGAAGATGAAAATATGGTATGATATAGCATGAATAAAGGTATAAGGAATCATATACAAAGTAAAGGATGTCACTGTGGGAGAAAATATTAATATAGTACTCCGTATGTGGTGAAGCAGACAACTTTTAACTTCTTGTGTTTTATATTCTTCTATTCATTAGTTCTCAAAAAGGAATCAAATTTAAATTTGTGGTGAGGAGAGATTTAAAAAAAAACATTTTTTTTTGCTGACATAGTAGACGTACAAGTGTACAACACCTTTTATTTTGATTAATATGCTTGTCTCTTTTACTTGATTGATTTAATAAAGGAATCATCTACTCCGTATTTACTCTGGATTTCAAACATTGCATTTTTTTAAAATTATGTATTATTTTTTTTTAAAAAAAAAGGAACAATTTCTTGGTTCAATTAAATTTTCATACGTACAACATTAGTTATAAATTTTTTTTTTTTAATTTATCATGTTGTAGTTATTCCATGGCCAACATCACCAAAAGAGAATTCGACATTCTTGATTTATCCGGTCAAAGGTACCTGGAATGGAGGGTTGATGCACTTGCTCACCTTAAAGCTAATGGCCTCGAAAATACAATTGCTGAGAATAATACATCTTCATCTCAGCAAAAGGCAAAAGCCATAATTTTCCTTCGCCACCACCTTCATGAAAGTTTAAAATCTGAATATCTATTGGTGGAAGATCCGAAGGAATTATGGGATAATCTCAAATAGAGATATGGTCATCAACAAAAGGTCTTACTGCCAAGAGCTCAGTATGAATGGATCAATTTAAGATTCCAGGATTTTAAATCCGTTTGTGACTATAATTCTGCTATTTTTAAAGTCACGTCCACATTAAAATTGTGTGGACATAATATCACCGATCATGACATGTTGGAGAAAACTTTTTCTACCATGCATATGTCAAATGTGATATTGCAGCAACAATACAGAGAAAGGGGCTTTAAAAAGTATTCTGAGTTAATCTCAATATTACTTATTGCTGAGCAGAATAATGAGCTCTTAATGAAAAATCATAACATGAGGCCCACCGGTTGTACCCCTACAAATTTTGGTCATCCTGATCGTGGTTCAGCACCAGAATCAAATGTTATTCAAGGTGGTGCACGCGGACACTTTAAACGTGGATGCGGAAATAACCGCAACAAAGGGCCAAATAGGGGATATAAACATTCAAATGAATCATCCTCCAAGGGAAAAGGAAAATTCAAATCACCACAGGTTAAAACTCATGAAAAGCCAAAACCAAGTGGTGAATGCTACAAATGTGGCATAAAAGGACATTGGGCGAATGAATGTCGAACGGCAAAACACTTGGTAAAATTATACCAAGCTTCCACAAAAGGAAAAGGAAAAAATGTGGAGGCTAATTATGCTGATGATATCAATCCAATTTTGCCTAAATTTGACGTGTCCGATTTCTACATGGATGATGCTGAAATTGGTGATGAAGTGGCCTTTGGTGGAACTACTACTGTTTAAATATTTTAATTTACGCTGTTATGGTGTATTTACTTTTAAAATAAATGTTTAAAATCTGTACTTTAATTTTCATGTGTACTTGTATTATTATTATGTCTGTTCTAAAAATTATAATAAAATATGTGATATTTGTGTTAATTATCTTGAACTTATATTTATTTATATATTTATTTATAT